GGCCTGGGGCTGTTGAACAAGGTCCAGCCCCACCTAGACGGAATGTATGGTGTGTTGTTTTTAAAATTGTATCTCTTTTTCTTTTTAACTTTTATCTTGTTTCTGTAAGCCGCCCAGAGTCCTATGGGATTGGGCAGCATATAAATTTATTAAATTACTATTATTAATTACCAGGGGGTGGTTCCATATGAGTGGATTAATGTGCCCAGTATGCTTTTTTTTTTACTGTATTGTCCCACCACTTGTCTGCTTCTTATTTATCCAAGATCACATGTTCATTCCCATCAAGACCTCTACTAGGAAATGTTTTCTCATTTCTTTCATTCTTGGAGGCAAGGGACCATACAGTATCAGGAGAAGGCTATCTTGGATTTGATGCTATTCCAGATGAAGATCCAGAAACAGAGTGCGCCAGTAGTGTAGTGTAGTAGTAGTAGCTCCCAGTAGAGCTGTGTGTATCCCTTCTTTCCCCCACTTTTTCTCCTGTCACATCTTTGTTGAGATTTTAAGCCATAAGTGTTAGTGACTTGAGGAGAGCTATATCTGCTGTATAGACTTTATAGTCAAATGATTGTTGTTTGTTTTCTTGATCAGGAATTCCAGGCATTAAAAATAGCAGCTGAGGAAAAAAAACTTGCATGTTCAAACTTCCCCAGAGAGTTGAGTTTTATTAAATCCAGTCAGGCCGTGTTTGCTGTGAAGGAGCTGCTGGGAAATATTTGCAAGAACCAATGGGACCAACTGTCAGGGAAGGGTGAGAATGGACCTTTTCTTCATGGGATACCAGAAGGTTTGTAATTTATTTGTTTATTGAATTTTTATAGCTACCCATCTTATAATGGAAGAAACTCTGAGACTTGGGCAGAATTCTTGTCCTTCGAGAGTTGCCCCTTCAGCTGAAGTACCGGATCTTTATGGCTGTAGAATAGGAGCTGTATGTCAGCTGTGGTGCCTGGCATCCATTCACTGAGACTGTTCATTATGCTAAGCCAGCAGTCCCCAACCTTGGTGGCTTGGCCGCCTGGCTAGAGGGGACAGGGGAACTGGGCCGTGTGAACAGTGGGCGAGCGCATGTGGTCCGCTCGTGCAGCCAGTTCCAAATAGGCCATGGCCTGGGGATTGGGGACCCCTGTGCTAAGCCACAGTATGTTTTCTTCAGTTTGGTTCAGTTCATTGGATTTGCCTATTTAATTCTTGGCTTCTTCAGCATACTATGATAAAGTATTCATGATACTTTCCCTAAGATGTCCATTTTGTTGTTATCTACTTGTAAGTCCTAGAAGCTCTGTCAACTGTTATCATTGTGAGCATCTTGTTTCTTTTCTTTTATGCAACTTTTCAGAATTTCATATGTATAACTTTCATATTATTCTGATTTTTTTCTGAAAGTACTTAATTTTTTTTTCTTGTGCAACAGTGGCATACAAATTTAGATTTTTGTGGTAAAAACCATTCTGTAGAGCTTTGGTAATTTTTTTTTAATTTTAGAACTTAGATGGGGGAGGATATTCATATCCACTGGCTACAATTTATATTTTTAAGTCCTCTGTGGCACTATAGAAGGGGCACAAAAACAATTTTGAGTTAGCATTTGTGATTAGCAGATCAAAATGAAATGCTGGCCTTTCAAGGTGAAAAGAAGCAAGATAGGCACCAACTAAAAGAGAAGCAACGGACAAAAAAAGCAAGATAGGAAGAATTTAAGTGGTCTTAGTTATTTAGGCTTTTAATAGCACTCAGATGTTTCAAAAATGACTCAAATATATAAACAGGCAGCAAACAGACATCACTAGGTGTGGTTACTGGTGGTTTGGGAAACACATCCAAAGCTGGTGTCCTTTAAATAACAGAACAGAGAAAGGGGTTTTACTTGTTAGTTTTTGATTTCCAGGCTCTTATCCTGCCAGATTCAAGGCTCATGTTGCTTGTTTAGTTGAAAATGAAGATTGCTGGCTCATTTCTAAGTTTGAAATCTTAGTTGTTTGTGTTTTCTTCGTGCAGCTGTTTAAAACATTATTACGTTAGAGCTGTTCCGCATTTGACTGCCACTGGCAGGGAAGTTTGGATTTTAACAGTAATTAACAAACACTTATCTTTTGTAGCCAGTTAAATAGAAATATCTAAAAGAACCGCCAGAGCTTTTTACAGAAGATACTGTCATTTTGCCATCTTGCCAGCATTATTACCTTCCCCACCCTCATTACATTTAGGTAGAACTACAGATAATCTTCGAGTTATGACTACAATTGAGCCCAAAATGTATGCTGCTAGGTGAAACATTCATTAAGTGAATTTTGCCTCCTTTTACAACATCTCTTGCCACAGTTGTTAGCTGAATCACTGCAGAGGTTAAGTTAGCAACATGGTAATTAGATGTATCTGGCTTCCCCATTGACTTTGCTTGTCAGAAGGTCACAAAAGGGGATCATGTGACTCCAAAATACTGCAGCTGTCATAAATATGAACCAATTGCCAAGCATCTGAATTTTGCTTACATGACCATAGAGATGCAGCAACAGTTGCAAAACGGACAGAAAAATGGTCATAAATCACTTTGGTGCCATTGTAACTTTGAACAGTTACCACTCAGATACGCGTCAGGAATGAAAATCACTGCTTTCCCTGAAGAAAATAAAACGTTTGCATTTTTCTCCCCACCCATATCCTTACATCATGTTTTCTATGTTTGTTTGATCATATGCAAAACAAAAATAGAAATGGATCTTATGAAAAATTATTTTTCTCTTTCAGAGATCTCCTCAGGCCAATAAGCAAAAAGCAGGGTGAGGCAGGGTTTTTTTTTCTCCTGCAAATGGTAAAACCAGTTTCCATGCCAACTCCACAGAGCCTGTGTCAGCCCTTGGATGCAGGCCAGGTCAGGAAACAGCAGCAAAAGAAATAATAGATCTCCATTCTATTGATATACCGTAGGCTGTATTAATAGACCCTTGAAAGCCTAACGTTTCTCATCTCTGCTCTCTTATACCAAAGATAGCCAAGGTAGGACAGTCTTCTCTTTCCCACTAAGGTCATGTTTTCTCAACACTTGCCACATATCTTCTTCAAGATATCCCCATACTCCTCTACATTCTTTAGTTCTCAAAAAAACAAAAAAACAAAAAAAAACACCAAAGCAGCTTGGCAATTCTTTTATCTGCCAGAGACAATATAAGATCATGTAGCACAAAGTGGAACGTGGAATATGGAGATTTTCCCATAAATACTCTTAAGTTTCTTGATTCCCCTAAAGTCTTGGCAGTAACCCACAGAGGCTTTTGAAAATTGGCTCCACCACTTATGCCCAGTCCAAAAAAGTTGTGCATTTTACGGTATATAGAAAAGGACAAGTGCTTGTAGAATCAAGGAAAACTTGCCAGCTCAACTGAGTTTTCTGCTGGTATCCCTACCAGTTATACAGAATTAGCAATACAGTGTTAGAACTGGGATCTTACGTTAGCATATGCAGTTATTCTCTTGCGATGCATTATCAGCTTTAAAATGTTTCAGGATCCAATCTGGGTCGGTCACTGGGACCAGAGGTTTAGTCTTCCAAGCTTTCAGATTCATGCTGGAGCTCATCCTCAGGGAACTTCTCTCTCACCAGAAAGTGAATCTCACTGATCCAGTTTGCATCCTGCAACATTATCTTGGAACACATATATCTGCCTTCATTCCTAAAAATGTTTTACAGCATATATGATTTTTAAGCATATATATGTTCTATGAAGATCACAGAATGTAAAGCATAAGGAGATGTGCCCCCATCCGGCTGGATATAAATTTGTCTTCCTCTAAAACCAGGAAGAAGTTACTACTTTGAACCAAAAGGCTTCTTTATGGTGGTGATATTTTCAGTTCTGTCTGCAATGTTGACAGTATATATTGATTACAAATTCTTCTTTTCACAGTGACACTTGAACCGCAGGTTTCAGAAAGGAGCATCAACTCTGCCAGTTTGGAATCACGAGATTATTTTCTAAAATGTAAGGCCATTCTGTTTTTTGTATTGTTCTTCTTGGTTTTCATGCCTTTTTGTTGACTGATAACCTTTACTGTCATTTTTGTGGATTGAAACATCATACAAGCAGCAGTTTCTGCAGAGATATATCTTTATTATCTTTTTGGCGTATAGTGTTTTATGATGTTTAAAAGTATGTTTTTAAGTATGTTACCTAGCTTTGTTTTATTTGCTGATTTTTAATGTAAACCACTTCGAGATGTCCAAATAAGAAGTAATATATGAATATTTTAAATACACACACACACACACACACACACACACATATATGACATGGTGGCTCAGTAGCTAAGATGCTATCAGAAGGTTGGCAGTTCAACGGTTCGAATCCCTAGCACCATGTAACGGAGTGAGCTCCTGTTACTTGTCCCAGCTTTTGCCAACAGTTCGAAAGCATGTAAAAATGCAAGTGGAAAAATAGTGGCCACCTTTGGTGGAAAGGTAACAGCCTCCCTAAATATGAAATATGGGCTTCTAAATATTCATAAATAAAGATTAATTAAGCCATGGTTTAGTGTGAGAACACTGCTTTTTTTGGGGGGGGGCATGCTTATGCCATGTGCCTTCCTTGTTTATCATTTTCAAGCTTTTTATATATTTGCTTTTGTACAGCTGCATTCATCATTGACTTGGACAGTGATACTGCTGACAAGTTCATCCAACTCTTCGGGACCAAGGGGGCTAAGCGTGTGCTGAATCCCATTGCTTACCCTGAGACCTCAACCAGGTTCATCAACTGTGAGCAAGTATTGGGCGAGAATCTTATGAACCGTGGCAACTATTACTGGGAAGTGGAGATCATAGATGGTTGGGTGAGCATTGGGATCATCACTGAAGATTTCAATCTCCAGGAATCATATGACCGGGGCCGCCTAGGAAGGAATGAAAAGTCCTGCTGTCTGCAATGGAATGGCCAGAATTATGTCGCGTGGTTTGGCGGATTTGACTGTGTTATACAGCAGCCATTTTTTCATACTATTGGGGTGTACTTGGAGTATTCAGAGAAGGTGCTGACATTCTATGGAGTCAAGGATTCCAAGATGACTTGTCTCCAACAGTTCAAAGTGGCTCGCTTCAAAAAGGGGCATTTTGACCCTTTCCAGAATAAGATTAACCACCAGTTTCCAGCACTGTTCATGCACAACCTCAAGCCAGCCTTTTTTCTCGAAAGCGTAGATGCTCACATGCAGCTCGGGCCTTTGAAGAAAGACTGTGTTTCAGTACTTAAACGGCGATAATTTGGTCAATGTATGACCAAAGATAACAATTTTGACAAATAGGATGTTTGTGTCATCTCTGCTGGAGCACTGCATCATCTTGTTGCTGCTCTTTTTACTTATTTGATAAGTATCAACGTTTAAAGAAGCACTTTTCAGCAAAACATTTTCCTTCTCTTGGACATAATAATTATTTACAAAGGGCTTGATCTAAAGCAAAAGACATCTCCATTTCATCTATATGAACCAATGGTATCTCCAGAGACTGTGCTCTGTTTCATAAGTAATACATGGATCAATAATCAATGGTACCATGGAAACCCATCTTCATAATAGCGGGCAGAAAAAAATACTACCACTGATCAAAAATGCTGAAGGCCATCACTTAAATGCCCCTAGATGAAGACTGCTCTTCCACAGCATTTGAAAAAAACAACTGTGGAGAAAACAATGGTGTCAGCTGTCAACAGAGAAAATGACATATATGAACAAATATATTCAGCTTTGGGTTACAATAGCAAGAAAAATTATGGGGCTGTGGGGAGCTTTAGTTGATTCTTAGCTTTAATCTAAATTCTAGTCTAAATATTAGAAATATAACTTTGAAATTAAATGAAGCATCTGTGGCTGTGTGTCAGACCCGCTATGTAGACCAGTTCAGGAAATGATCTCCAAAGAAAGGATACAATTTTTACGGAGATAGACTATAATAATTGAGTCTTGCAAGTCTGATTGTAATATACCACAATCTCTTTAAAGTTCAGTGAATTAGGGTGCCATCTGCCAAATGCTATCTCCTTGTTTTGGACTTTAAAATGTTCCTATCATTTTTGTCTAGGTAATGGTTCCTGCATGTTTCCATCACGGTCACATTGCATACCCTGTACACTGTGCTTTAATGCTATATGTGCCCATTTATTAATAATTGGGTAAAAAGTGTAACGTAAACTGAGTTGCAGATCTGAATGTGAGGTACTGAACAGGTGAGTACCTGCACAAGAAGAGCAGAATGTTTAAGCACTGAGTTGCAAGTTTCCCCTTTCCTTACAGCATCTTATAGGCACAGAAGTATTATAATAATGGAGATTCAATGGCTTTCTGGAGTCACTGGCTGGTTGAATCTGATGGAAATTCAGGCTTATTAGTCTGTGAAGGACCGCAGATTCCTATTTCTATGACATAGTCTGCTTTTCTTAGCTGCATTTTGAGTACAGATCCATGGAAGTACAATGGAAGAAAGATCATTGAAGAATGGGGATTGAACTTTCTTGTGTAACAAAGATACAAAGTGTATAAAATACATCCTTTCCAAATATACTAAAAGGACACTGTAAACATAAATATACCATAATTTAGTCATGCTGATAGTAATGGTGAGGAAATTCTAGCTGCTATTGTTAAAAAAAAAGATTTCAAGTTAAACTATGAGGAGACCAAGTTTTTCATTAAGCTTAGGCTTTTTTAAAATTGTTTTGTGACTTTTTAAGATTGTTTTGTTTAGAACAGGATTGACAGCTGAGTTCGAATAAACCATCCATTGGATTCCTTTCTTTCTAGAAGATAATAGGCTATGAGCATTCATAATGTAAATTAGGACTGAATAAGGAGAAAATTTAGTTTGGAGACAGCTTTTTTTTTGCCAACACAGGATAATTTTCTTCTTTGAAGCATTAATCTAGTGCTAGGCCACATCATTAATTCTATGATCTCAGGGGATTATATTGTTACAAGAGGGTTTTGCAGTATTAGTGAGTACATTATTTGTCTCCAAAACATGTTTTGTTCCATTATATCCTGTATCCAAAGTGAGAGGATAGTAGATTTGATTAATCATGAAAATAATTTAATAAGCACACTCTTCTTTGCTGCTGGGCCTCACTGAAATATTCCTGCCTTTCATTAAAAAAAATGTGAGGTCCTTATAGTTTTGTTTGTGTAAATTCTTCCGTTAATGAAAACACTGCAGCATAGTCCTGAAATGCACATATCTTGTATTCTTTTTTCAAAGTAAGTTTTCACCATCTTTCTATAAAGGAAAAATGATAGGTACATGATGTACATATTGAATTGCATGTTGCAATCTAGTATCTTAAATTTATATCCAATTAATTAGTGTTCGGAAGGTTACAGGGTTTAATAAAGATAGATGATAGACGTTTGAATTTGTAAGAAAATCAGAGTAGTATGTAATCCACTCTAGTTTGAAATTAGGACTTTTTAAATATTTAAAGATGGTTAGTTACTGAAATAGATGGAACCACAATTGCAGGACTTGACAGAAGGAGCACTCAAGATGGTGGAGAGGATTTCATTGTCCCTAACAGGACAGAAGGCACAGTTCTGTGAGGAAAGAATCTACGTGCAGATGATCTCAGTTAGGGGAGATAAACATTGTTCATTTTTATAATGCAGCTGTTGTAACTGGGGGAAATACTATAGTTTGTAACTTACTGAATAACTGGTTGATGGTAACAAGGCTACACTTAATTTGAAGAGTTTGTTCAATTGGATTCAAATACTACCAAAATATGTCATACATATGACTGCGACAGGATTTTCTTTTTTCAAAAAGATTCAGGATGAGAATTGATTTTTTTTAAATGTGTTAAGGTGATTTAAAGTATAGGATAGTTTTTAATCATCTGTTTCAGCTTCTCAGGAAACTACATCATTATATTTTATCAGTCATGCTACCAAGTTTGATAGAGAGGGAGTTTCAAATGTTATGAAAAGCAAATGTGGAGGCTAGACACCAGTGAGAGGCTGCAGACTGGAAATTCCTTTATATTTCCTGGTTAAGGATTAACAATACAAATCTTTAGAGCATGAAATCATTTATAATCACATGATAATTATTCTTAGACCATTGCATACAGCAGGTATTTTAAGCTTTCTGAACAATCCAGCATCAATCTTGTCATAATGTGGTTAAAAATTAATATTTCTAGCTCTCATTCATTACATTCTGGTCTTGCCTAGTTATTGTTCCACATCTGATCATAAGGTTTCATTTGTACACAAGATTCTCAGAGCATTTAGTTTGGAAGAAAACTTTGGAAAAATGTGTTTTATCCACAGCTGGGCCAGCCAGGAAATTTTGTTATAAAAATCCATGGCATAAACCACAATAAACTGGAATTAAAGAAATAGTTCAAACCACAAAAAGATGCTTTTATTTATTTTGCTTTGGCAGTAAATGTGCCTGTTCTATGTGGCAAAGACTAAAACAGTTCCATGTGCTTTCTGCTACCTTTATCTGGCCTTCAGATGATTTAATCCATTTTATTATAAAAAATATACAGTAATGTTGAAGGAGGGTGAAATGAAACATTAAGCTAGTACATTCTGGTGTTTGAGAAAACTAAAAATCTGATTAATGACATCTAATAGTTCAAAATTACTGAGATAGCTAAAAGGGCAGACTCAAAATCATGAGTTGTTCTCTTTCCATTCACACTAATTAATGTTTAACTTAATGCCCTCCCCAAAGCATTAAAGCAGCAAATGGGAGAGGAGGGCATTACTTGATTATTCTTGTTGGCATCATGACCAGAGTAAAGCCAAATGGATTCTCTACATACGCTCTTGAGCTTTTAATATAAGCATGCATGTTTTATACATGAGAACAGGAAAGAAGATATGTTCCTGTTATAAAAATGCTGCCTTTTTGTTAAGAATTGGAGGGATTCATAGGAGTGGTGTAATGGCAAATGACAAAACATGTATATCATGCAGATGCCATGAGTTACATGCTTCTACCAGATATTAGAAGATTATGTAGGTTAATACTTGCATAGTATCACCATGTGCTTTGGGCATCATCACTTTCACGGATACCACTGACAGGATCTTGAGTTTGCTTGTTTCTTCATTCACTATCCAATCTTTTCAGCTGAAAACTTATTTTTAATGTACCTAGGAAAATTAAGTTGTAGTAACCATTTAGTAAAGAGTGATGGTTTGGAAAGTGAAAAGACCACATTTCAAAAACATAATTTAATTTAATGAGGTTTTTACAAAACCCCAATCAATCTGAAAACTTCCCTCGAATTACTGAATGAAATTCAAAGATGACTAGAAGGCTTATACAATAATCATTCTTAAGCTTTTAAGGTACTGCAAATTAGTTTTCACTTCCTGCTGCCCCACTAAAAATAGAAACCAAAGAGGAGTAATATGGATTTTTATATAGATTGTAAAACTAAAAAGGATGGAGGCAGGGTTTTATGATAGGGATGCTTGAGAGATCATTCAGGAAACAAGACAAACTTCCTGTGAATGGGAAAGTTACATTCTTTGTTATGTATCAGAAACATAAAATATTTTTTGCCTCATTCATGCTCATTACAGACAAGACAGAAGAAAAGTAACTTGGTTGTATAAAAAGGAGGATGTGGCATCAATGCCAAATTTTTGTGTATATTGTGAATGGAGGGCCCCATCCTTTAAGGAGCAGCACAAATATGTAGAGGAATTAATTTGAAGTGAAAATCATTATTCACATGACTAAGCAACTATGTGTGAGTAACAAACTACACATTAATTATGTATAAACCACAGAATGGTTTCTGGAAAGAAATGGAATGAGCCAAATTGAAATAAACTACGGTATTTTACACCTTTTTATTTGAGCCCTGAGAGCATCTGGCAATTAAAAAACATACAGAACAAATACAACAGAAATTCAAAGGTATACATTAAAACCAAAAGAAGCATTCAGAGATGCATCTAGACCAGGATAGGCAAGTAATGTTCCCAAGAGATCACATAAGAAGTCTGTTGTGGAAGGCTGAACTAATAGAGATCTGAAAATGTTATTGATATGCATGCACACACATATATGTACATACATATATATTTAAAAATTTGCATCCAAAATAAAAGCAAATGCAGTTGTATGCATGGTGGCACTTATTTACATTTGATCTCTTAATTTTTATTGATCTTATGCAGGCTGGATAGGGATAGCCAAAGGGCCAGATGTGGCCCATGAGCTGTAAAATAATCTGAGCTGTCTTTATAATGGAAGAAAGAAGGCATTCTACTGTTTAGGAGCAACACAAGAATAAACCCTCTTCTATGTGTCAGATACTGTGAATGAGTCTGACAAAAGTGACATCAGAAAATTTCTCTTGCAGCTCTTACTGGCTAGAGCTAGATGTGATCCTAACATAATCATCAGTCTTTGAGAATCAGATTGCAAGCCATTTAACATTGAAACCTTCAATTATGCCTGTGTAACAGAAATAGGTTCAGTATTTATCCAATATTCTCCAGATGGAACAGGAGTTTCAAGGTGACCTATCTTTCTAAATACATATGTCTAGAAGCAAGTTTCCTTCAGACAACTTCCATTACCTACGTTCTTGCCTTTTATTTTTGCAACATCTTATGAGAGTTGCCCATTAATACTTCTAGAAGGACATATTCACCAAAACATGCAGGAATAATCCAAAATGCACTAGGGATAGTTTTAAGGAAGCAAAGTAAGTAGTATCAGAATCTGAAAGTATTGTATCTAATTAGCAAAACTTTAAGAGACTAGCATTAGGTAACTTTAAACTTTATTCCGACATTGCCCAGTTACGCTTACTAAAGCATCAATTATTGTGAATAGAATCTAGTGTATTTATCCAGCGTCATATACAGACGGGGTTTGTGATTAGAAACTCCACCCCTCCCACTTTCCCGCAAATTTTACCGTGGTCAAGAGCCACCTTTTTAACCAATGAACTACATTTCCCATCATGCCTTGGCATCGCCCGTCGTTGCTTTATTCCTCTTCCGGTTCTGTTCGTTGCCTAGAGCTCCTCTAAGCCGGAAGTCGCTCGCAGAACTTGCGTAGAGCCGCTTTATTAACGGCTAAGAGCCTCTCAGTCCAGCGGGCGTTGGATAGAGAGTCGTCAGTTACTTAGCGGCCATGGCGCTGAACAGGAACCATTCGGATGGAGGAGGTGTCATTATCAATAACAGCGAAAGGTACTGGGGGCAGCATTTGTGGCTCGTGGGGTCCGGTCTGAGTATACTGCGTCAGCGGCTCTTCCCCCTTTACTCCCCGGCTCCTGATTCCCGGGGCCCCGCCCTTTCGCAGATGCCCCGCCTCCAGGGGCGGGGAAAGAAAGTTCCTGATCTCCTCCCTGATCTCGCCTTTTTTTTTTGTCTTTTCATTGTGCGAGTGTCCCACTCGATCCTTTCGATCACAAATAGTACTATGACCTTTTTGGTTATGCTGCAATATGGTCATTTTCCTGAAATTTCTTAGCTTTTGTGCGGCTGAAAGGCATAGTAAGATTAAAACAAAATTAGCTAACAATGGAAAAAAACCTAAGAATTGTATGTAATAGAATTTGTCCTGAGCCTAACATGTTTTTCTAAATATCCTCAGCTCCTAAAATTTTGTAAAGAGTGTTTGTTTTTTGTTTCCAAAGACTTGAATTTATTCCCTCATTTCCCATGAAGATACTTTAAAACAAATAAGATTTCTTTATTATTCCCTTTCACCTACGGCAGAATGATATTACTAGTTGTAAGTATCAGTAATATAGATAGCTTTTTCCATTGTGGGCAATATGCACCAATCTGAGCAGTTGGCAAATCAATAGATGCAAGCCAGCTCAAGAGTCAGCTTAAAAATCAGAGTTTCAACACACTCTTTTTGGAGAAAGAAGTTGGAAGGAATACTAGACAGAGCTGGGAGAATAAATAGTAAAATTCAGAAAACAAATGAAAATAAAAGTTGGAACATTGACAATCAATGTAGTGGCAACACTCCATTTGTTAATGTAACCTTCAGGGGAATAGGAATTACAGAAAAAGCTGACACAGGTAAATATTCCAAATTACATAGTGATTTTTCTTATTCCAACTTGCTTTAGCTATTTCTCAAATATTTATAACTTTATTGTACTCATATATTGCTGAATCAATATAGACTCATGGAATTTTATAAAACAACCAATAAATGCACCCATAACAGAAAAGGTGTTCCATATTTATGCAAGTACATTGAAACAACCAATATGCAAACAAAAAGGTAAATTGTAATAGTCATGGAAAATAAATACAACAAATCCAAACAAAATCAAATGAATTAATAGCAAGAATTAATACTCAAAATAATATAACTAAAGATGGAAATAAACTTTGGTAAAGTTCCAAGAATATCCTCAGAATATATATTTCCACAATAGGAAAAAGCTTATGCCATAAGTATCTTGTAATAATTTTGTCCAATGCAAAGTTAAATTACCAGAAGGCTTCTTGATGTCATGTTAATATTATGAAATAGTATAATCTACCACCATGTCTGCTCTTCTCATCTGAACATGATTTTGCCATTCCTTGTTCTTCTTTTGTCAAGAAAAAGCAAATGCATTTTGGAAGTGGGAGGGTATATTGAATACTTTCACGTTACTAAGTTTTCTATATAGGTTTCTTCACTGGAAGCAATGAAAAAGAGCGTATAAAAATGAAAACATGACTTCAGCATTAAAAGATAATAAATCATCAGACTGAGGTCTGATTTTAGCACCATTATAAGCAAAGATTATAGAGTAACAGTAGAGAGCACCAGTTTTATTGCTGCAGAGTTTAGGAACAGGTACAATATACAATACTGAGAAAGGCTGATAGGAACTTTTTCAGTCAATCTTATGGAAGAATAGAAGACTAGGAGAGCTGAAAATTTGACTCAATTCAGGCTGTACAAAATACATGCATTGAGGTAACAATCCTACCTAAGTGGCAGATATAATAGTTTGATATTGCGGCTACAGTATTAAAAGTGAGTGGAATAAATAAAGTATTCATTTTACTGAATTATACCATTTCATACATAGTAGCTTTGGCTGTGTTAAGAATACTGCCTTTGGCATTACTCATGCTGAATAACATTGGCTCATTTTTTGGGTGATATTTTCATGTTCACATTTTTCAGCAAAAAGAGTTGCTGACAATCTCACTAATAATAATTGTGTGCCTATTTGTATTTAGTAATCTACAGGTTGCATTTGTTGAACTATTGTGCTAGTGATGTTAAAGCATATATTATATGTCTTAGAGGTAAAAGAATGACTGGAAAGTAAAACTTAGTATCTGATGTTTGTTTTGTTTGAGTATAGCATCTTGATGAATTATGAGCACATTGAAATGACATTCCATGATATGGAACAGATGCCAGAGGCATTTAAAGGGACCAAGAAAGGCAGTGTCTTCATGACTCCCTATCGAGTAAGTCAGCAATATGTATTTTTTACATGCACAGAGAAAAACATCCTAAAACTCCTGATAGTTATCTCTATCTAAACCAGGGGTTCTCAAACTTATTAAACAGGGGGCCAATTCACGGTCCCTCAGACTGTTGGGGGACTAGGTGGTCATGTGACTGGGTGGGTGTGTTTAGGTCATGTAACTAGGTGGGAGTGGACAATTTAACAGTCCATTAAACAGTGCACACAAATTAAACTTTAATTTGTTTTGCTCCCGGGGTGTTTTATTTGCTTTTGTTTGCATGTTGCTCTGTTGATTGACATTTCTTTGAACTAGATTGTTTTTTCAGTTGTTTGGAAGTCTAGTGGTCCACTTCAGGAAATTCAGTTTTGCAGCAATTTTTCTCAGCCCAAGGAGCTTACAATCAACAAGTCTGTCTGTCTTCTCTCTTTCTGACTCACTCTCTCTGTCTCTCTCTGTCTCTGTCTTTCTCTCTCTCTCTGTCTGTCTATCTCTCTGTCTATCTCTCTTCTCTGTATCTATCTTCTGGACGTGGGGAAGGTGAAAAACGGGGCCCATTTTTGGCCTCCCAAGGTTTCTGTGCATCCCATTTTTCAGCTCTCCCGCCTCCAGAACATCTCTGCAGGCAAAAACCAGGTGAAAATGGCCCATTTTTTGTCCAAAGGTGGGTGAAAATGGCCCAGTTTTTTGCCTCCTGAGGCTTCTGTGCACTTCCCTGCTTCCAGAATGTCTCTTCAGGAAAAAAACGGGTGAAAATGGTCCATTTTTTGGCCCAAAACAGGCCATTTCCTCCCATTTTTTTGCCTCCTGGAGCATCTGCCCATACCATTTTTCACCTCCCTCACCTCCAGAAGCATTCTGCAGGCAAAAAATGGGTGAAAATGGCCTGGGTTTTGGCCAAAAAGGGGGGAAATGGCCCGATATTGGGCCTCCTGGGGCACCTCCAGAACCTTTCTACAGGCCAGAATTGTTGGCTTTATCTTTCAGTTCCAGCCAGTGGGGTTTCTGAAGGTAAGTCCTGCACTTGGCCGAAGGGTGGGTGGGGCGATGTGGGCGGGGGCAGCCTTGTGGTCCTGTGCGGCCTGCATTAATAGCTTCTGTGGGCTGCATGCTGTCCACGGGCCGTAGTTTGAGGACCTATAATCTAAACCTTTGGTATTCTGGTTTAAAAATGTTGATATGGGAGAAGTATTAATGTATTTCCATCTGTTAAAAATTGGGTAATTGCATTTAATCTTTGTATTAACATGGCTGACTTTTGGAATTAGCATTTTTATGCTTGGTAAGTCCAAAAGCCAAATGAAAAGGAACATAAAATGAGTTGAATTATAAATAGGAGCAGCAAAGATGGTAGTTGTAAGGCTGGCCTTGTCCTTTCTTCTCCTTTTCTGTCCCATAATTTGAAGTTCAGATCTTCTAGGCAACATGAAGCAGTGGCTGAGGGCTTACAAAAAAGAGTTGGCCTTGTAACAGATGGCATGATTTTGCAGTGCCCTTATCCCTTGAGGTTTTATGATGAGTTTTCATTTTCAATGGCTAGTTTGATTATTCTCAGTTGCAGTACTAGAATTATGTTGGGAGAGCAAGCTGGAGCTAGTAAAAAGAGGTGCTAGAATGGCTTAACTGCTTCAGTAACTTGAAAGTACATGGGCAGGTAGGTATTTCAAGCCCTTTGCATAAGAGCCCTGGTGGTGCAGTCCTTAAATCCAGTATTGCAGGCAAACTCTGCTCACAGCCAGGAGTTCATCCTGATGGGGCTCAAGGTTGACTCAGCATTCCATCCTTCCCAAGTTGGTAAAATGACTTAGATTGTAGCGCCCAGTGTGCAAATAATGCTTTGACATTGTAAACTGCTATAAAGCACTATGGGGCAGTATGTAAGCCTAAATGCTATTGCTATTTGATTAATACTGTATGTCAGCTGAGCTTGAGAATTTAAAAGCTATTTAGAACTAGATTAATATTGCTGCTTCATAGTATCAATCAAATAAATTGTTGGTTCCTATTTTCTGAAGAATTTAGAATCATTAATTGAAGTATTAGGTAGTTATAAAATATCATTTGAGATTTTCTTAGTGTGTAGCAATGAAATCTAGTGTTTTGTTTTTCTGATTCTAAACATTAAAAATCTGTACTCATTTTGCTTGCAGGTCATTTTTGTATCTAAGGGAAAAGATGCAATGCAGTCTTTCATGATGCCCTTTTATTTAATGAAAGAATGTGAAATTAAGCAACCCGTGTTTGGAGCAAATTATATCAAGGGCGTAATAAAAGCAGAGGCAGGAGGTAAGTACCCCTGTGTTTTTGGGATTTGATTTATGTTGTTCTTACAAAAATCAATACACAAATTATTGGGATTATTCTGTCATCTTTGCAATGAACTGTGAATTCTTCTTAATTTACTTGCAAAAAAATTAACAAATGAGTTGTGAGTACTGTAATTACTTTGTGCTAGTGAAATGGTTAAAATAATTATGCATTGTAGTAACAGATATTGGTGACATATTCGGCAGGTGAACATAGAGAACATAGAGGGTGAACATGCTTTGGACAAATATATTTGGACTTCAGTAAGGCATTTGACAAAGTAGACCACAACCTATTTCTTGGTAAGATAGAAAAATGTGGGCTAGATAGATGGATTTGTATCTAGCTGACCAACCACACTCAGTCCACAATGGAACTAATGGAAGTGTGCAGTGGGGAACCCCAAGTTTGAGATCCAGTATTCTTCAACATCTTCATAAACTATTTAGATGAGGAGATAGAAGGGGAACTCATCAGATTTTCAGGCAGCATCAAGGTAATAGGAATGGCCAATACTTTAGAATAGTGGTCCCCAACCCCCGGTCCGCGGACCGGTGCCGGGCCGTGGAGTACCTGGCACCGGG